TGCAAACCATGCAAGACTGAAAACCCTTGTCAAGAAAGTTCTGTGTGACAAACTCAACCTAATAAATACCTTGAGACTATATGGCCTTGAGTAGCTAGCCTACTCCACGAAGTCATCTTGTGAAAGGGATTTTATTTTTCGCCTAAAATTTGAAATTTGTGCTTATGGTATTAATAAAACCAAGTTGAACAAGTCAGATGATGATTTGGACTGTTTGTGGACTCACTTATTTTGATGTAAGATTGAAAAGATGCATTTTTGCAGTAATCCAGCATTTGGGATGTGAAAATAACGTAATCTGTAAAAAAATGAGATGAATTCATTGGTTAAGGATTTAGAAATAACAATTTTCGATACTGTGCATGCATTTATATATGATTTATGTTCTTTTAGTGGGTTGAATGTTTAGCTGGCTGCTGGCCAACTTAATTGCTTACGGTAAACCTGATAATCGATATTAGCCCAATTGCATGAAGATTAGGATTTAGGAGTGGTCCTTTATTATGATACAGATCCGTTGTTTTTATTCAATATTTTTTATGTTGCTTGCTTGATTCTTGTTCACCTAAAACTCTCCGTAGTAGTTTATTTGTCCCTTTACTTGGCAGAATTCATTGATACTTCTTAGGGGCAATTTGAAATGGTTCAGAGTAGAAAAGTTCTAATGATTCTGATTTCCGATATGATTTAGAAGTAACACATACATGTATCATATTTGTGAACACAACAGCTGATATTTATGGCTTCATAGTGAGAAAAAGTTAATTATTTGTGGTCACCTTAAAAACCAGTGCTTCTTTTTCCAAGCCCAATTAATTCTTCGTTGATACAGAACACTTATTATACCTTTCATTCTGAGATGACAATATATATTTGAATGAATTCGTAAAATTGTGGAATTTTATGGATTATTGTACGAGTTACACATCTAATCTAGTTGCTCCGAATGTGATCCTAACTAGATTTATCTGTTAGTCGCGAGTTTAGTGTCTTTTTAGTTACCGTTTTAGCAATTCTTAGTAGTTGCTGGTATAGGCATAAAAGCAAGTAGGCGTGCTAAGAAATCAGGTTTAAGTTGATAATTTTCGCTTGCGTAAAAAGACATGATTTTGCAGCAAACGCATCAAGTATTTTCGAAGAAATCAGGTTTAATTATCTTGTTTGTTCACTTGAACTTTTGATCTTACTTAAAACTTCAAAATTTTTCCTCCTTTCATTTATCCTTGTCATTTCTTTCACAGTAGTAAAAGACTAAAGAACACACTTACAGAATACAAAGTAAAGCCGTTTAGGTAATTTAAATTGTCCCCTGTGCTATATTGCTATATGTAGTGGAGATCATTCATATTTGTAAATACCAAAACTGAGATTTGGCATAATTACAAAAAGAAGTCTAGTTTTCTCCATGTTACAGTTACTCCCTTCAAGTTTGTTTTGTGTAAAACCTCAAAATGAATCTTTAATGATTATTGGATTGAGTCAGGTTGTAAAGATCATGATTTAGATTATGTTTGGTAAAATTAGCTGATAAGTGATAATTTAGCTTATACCTTATAATTGAATTTCTAGCTTGTAGCTTATGGCTGAAAAACTAGTTGATATGATAAAAGTGATCGGTAAAATTAGCTGATAAGTCAAGTGATATGAAAAATTCAATTAACTTATTTGAAAAGCTTTCCAAAGAAGCTTATGAGATAAGCTCGAGCTTTTTAAACAACTCTTCGTATCAAACCAAGCTTATTTATATACAAAAAGTTTATAAGCTAACCAAATAAACTATAAGCTAGCTTATGGTGCTTATCAAACACACTATCCAGAGAACTTTGGGCACAGACAATAAGAGGCAATTGTACCAAGTCCAGGGCTATACTATATACCCAACAGCACCAGTTTATGTCCCCCTAAATATCTCGGCCCAGTTATGGAGGGCCCAAATCAAAACCTCAGCATTTATAAGCCTTTCTGAGAAAAAGCCTCCTTATGAAAAATTCTCCCAATTATCTCCATGTTCTGATTTAACTTGTTGAAATGTAAATCAATAGTTTATTGTCCTATCATTAAACTAAAAAAATGCCCCACAAAAAAAAAAAGCTCTCAATTATCTCAATTTCATTTGTCAATTTTGTGCATGTTTTTAACTTTGCATGATTGGACCTGCAACCTTCCCACCCATTTAGAAGAATGTAAAATAAAGTTTTATGAAACATTAATTGTGAATGAAAATAATTTTTGTTTTTATGATTGTGGGTCTAAACCAAAATTGGATGATGAAGCTAGTCTTTTCAGAACCACCTTATGGATTGCATTACATATCAGTCCTTCAAAGTATTATGCTTTGTAGTGAGTCTGTTGCTATTTGGTAAGATTCCGAAATTATTGTTATGAAATAATTTGTAGATTGGAGAGAATTGCAATAGGTATGGATAAATCAGTTATTCGAATTGAGTATTCGTAAACACAACTCGATTTGACTCGTGAAGCTCAATTTTACTTTTTCATTTATTTAAACGAATTGGGCTGGACTTGAACAACTACTTGATCGAGCTTGTAATTAAACATGTTGAAGCTCAATTATACTTTTTCATTTATTTAAACGAATTGGGCTGGACTTGAACAACTAATTGATCGAGCTTGTAATTAAACATGTTGAGCCGAGGTTGTTCTGCA